TAAGGAAAGTGCGCAGAGTACAGCAGAGAGGGGTGCAGAGAAGGGCCGTGTGAGAGAGTCAGAGAGCAGAGCTGCAAGGCCGACGATTCGCGAGAACAGAGAAGAGGCAGTCTTCAAAGCGAAAAGTGGTAGGGATTTTCAAAATAGATAAAGATATGAGCCTTTGTATTCAGGAAACATACTGAACTCCAAGCTGCGTATGTGCAAAACCCCATCTAGATATCTAGGTAAGATACGGAAGACCAAACATACAAAGACATATCTAAAAAGATAGACAGGTTACTGATGGAAAAATTAAAAGATGGAAAAGTGCGATTTTTTTCACCGATAGAATATATAATAGACTGTGTGTCTTTACAGTAGCAGCAAAACGGAAACGGCTGAAATGAGCCCTTAAGTGCAAAGAGGCTGGCTGAATGGACTGCCCTGTGTTCAGACCACAGCGCATGCAGCATCGAAGATGAGCGAGTGCTGCAGATCACGTGAACAACCTCAGAGCAATGTTGGGTAGAAAAACAAAGTGGCCGTGTAAACCTTAAAAAGGCAAATAATATTGCATATTGCAATGGGCAAAACCACATGCATATATAATAAAATAAGTAAAAAAGGATAAGGGAGGATGAAAGAATACCATCAGCCTCCAGAAAGTGGTTACTTCTGGGTTGGAAGAAGCCTAGTGGAAAGGAGGAAGAAGAGGACTTCAGCTGCGCTGGCGGTGATTTATTACCTTAAAAGAAGAGAAAGCTCCAGGAGCAAACAGGGCAAAATGCTACTATTGCTTGCATCTAGGTAGCTGGGATATAGAGGCCTCGTTCTTTTCTGTATGTATGAAGAATTTTATAACTAAAAATAAAAACATCAAGATGAAACACGAAGGTCTACATTTATTTCCTTTTTGACTATCTCTCTTAAATTCCAAATTATGAATCACTGTATTCATGAAGGGAGAGGGGTGAGAACCAAAGCCAAAGACCTCCTCTGTTCCGTTTCTTCGATGAATAGTGATCTATTTAAAATTAAATAGCTTAATAGCATCTTTCTTGTGATAGTTAATTTTCTGACATTAAACGTCATTTTCTCTTTCCAGTCTTCTTTGCTAGGATTCCATGTTTTTTAAGAAATGAAATATTTCAGCCAAAGAAGTCCTCCAATGTGCATTCATACTAGGTGTGAGACAGGGTGTCCTTCCCTTCTCCTCTGCCGTTTCACGCAGCTTCTGCCCAGGCTGTTGCTGGTGTGCTGGGTCCCCAGGGCAGACTCTTCTCCAGACCTTGGCATCAAAACCACACCTCCAGGCACCTGGGGTTGCCATGGCAGTGGCTGAGTCTCCTGGGCTGGTGACCTGGGCAGACTGGGCTTGAGACCCCTTTCCTCTTGACTCCCTCTTTCAAGAAGCAAGAGCTTAACACTGTGCATCCATTCTCCTACAGATGACTCATGTTTGTCCTTCTGTATGGCAGAGTAGTGCTCCATGGTGTGTAAACACCACGTTTTCTTTATCCATTCATCTGTTGATGGACACACAAGCTGCTTCCAAGATTTAGCTGTTATGAATTGTGCTGCTCTAAACACAAGTGAGCATGGATCACTGTGCTATGATGACTTGAGCTCTTACAGGAAGATACCCAGAAGGGGAGTAGCTGGGTGCAATGAAATTTCTAGTTTTAGTGTTTAAAGGATTCTCCGCGCTGATTTCCACAGTGGTTGTACTCGTTTGCCCTCCCACCTACAGTGGAGAAGGGTTTTCCCCCCACAGCCTCGCCAGCATTTCTTATTGATTCCTTAATGTTGATCATTCTTTCTGGAGTGAGAAGGAATCGCAGTGTGGTTTTACTTTGCATTTCTGTAATGGCCAGAGACGTTGTCAGACAACAAACTTAAGTACTACGTGGTTTCTCTTACATGAGAAACCTAGAATATAGGAGATAGATCTTTTGCAAAAGGGGAGGGGGCCGAGAGACAGCAGCGGGAGGCGGGGAGGAGAATGCAGATGTGGAAGCACTGTGTGGGTACTCCAGGCAGGCTTGCAAAATGCTGGAGACGAAAAGAAGCGGAGCTGCTCCTCCCCTGCCTCAGGAGGAGGGGACGGCACAGCCGGCCTCGGAGATCTCCAGGGTCCACGGCTGGGGGTCCCTGCGTGCTGACCGGTGTGCAATGCGCTCCGTCCTGGATCTCAGCCTGAGGGCGCGGCCGCTGGGTTCCAGACTCAGGACTCACCGCATCCTGTTCCTGTTCCCCAGGGCCTGGCTCTGGTCCCGGAGACCCAGGCTGCAGCATCCTGTCCAGGCTCCTCCAGTGGCTGCCGCCCTGGCCCATTCCCTCACCCAGTTCTTCGGGATACAGCCGCCTGAAGGATGGTGTCCGTGTCCAGCCACTCACTTAGCCTGTGACAGGAAGATGAAGGGCCATTGTTCGTCTGTAGACACTAGCTCACTTTCCCTCTTCAGTGTTGGCTGCTCAGGGGCACCCGCATTGGGCCTCGGGGACTCCCAGCGTGGAGGGCAGGACAGGCTGTGGGGGAAGGTTCTGCCTTGTCTCCTGGCCTGGTAGGAGTGCAGATCCTTGATCCACACGTCCCTTGGGGTTAGGCAAGCGAACTTGAATGACCACATCTGCCTTGAAGTCTTCTTCGCTATTCTTTCTCTGTCCTCATCTCTTAGGGCTTCACATTTGTCACATTGTCACATTGTCACAGAATAAGTACTTAACAAATGCAGGCGGAAGGAGCCTTTTAGGAGAGCCCCCAGCACCACACAAGGAGTGCATCATCTTGGTGCTGTGGGAAATTCAAAAGACAGACAGGTTTTGGTTCGGCTCTGTGTCATTCAGAAGACATCTGGCCATCCTTTATGATGTTCAGAAACATTTCTCTCAGAGGCATTTTAGATCGCCACATAGCAGGGGTCACCTTTGATTTTCACCTTGTCTTTTTTCTCTTGGCTTTCTTCAGTGACTCATCCATTTTTATTATTTCTTCAAGGCTCCTGTGAGTAAGGATGGGCAACTTAGGGTTCACTCTGCCTCAGAGGAGCAGCCCGAGCCTCTCTCTGGAGCCTGTGCTGGGAACTGGGCAGCAGAGGCGGGCGGGTCTCGGGGTGCCTCAGGGATGCCCACATGGAATCCTGCTCCTACCCAGTGTCCCTGGAGGCTGTGAAACCTGTAGCTGCCGTGGAGCCACTGAGAATGTGGTTCCTGCATGATGCAGTATTTGCTTTCTGAGAACCCGTGGGATCATTTTTATCTGCTCCCAGACTAGGATTAGTTGGACTTCTGCTCCAGTGTGAATTTTGTACTGGATCTGCGTGCTTCTTTGAGTTGGCTGCTCCAGAGCTCAGGTAATTGTTTCTTCAATTTTTATTTTCATCGGTCCACATTTGCAGTACAAAATGGTTATATTCTTTGTGGGGAGTCAGTACATGTACACAACACATCTCAATTCCTTTTTTATCCCCTTCCTCCTCCATCCACTTTTTATTTATATTTTAGGTTTCTAATATAAGAGAAACCATGCAGTATTTAAGCTTTGTGTCTGATTTATTTCAGTTAACATTATGGTCTCAAGCTGCATCCATTTTCCTACAAACTGACTCGTTTATTCTTCCTTATGGCACAGTAGTATTCCATTGTGTGTAAAAATCATTTTCTTTATCGATCCATCAGTTGATGGATATATAGATTGCTTCTGGGATTTAGCTACTATGAATTGTGCTGCTATAAACATGGGTGTGCATGGATCGCTGTAATACGATGTCTTTAACTCTTTGGGGAAGATACCTAGAAGGGGAATAGGTGGGTGGGATGGAATTTCTAGTTTTAGTTTTTTGAGGATTCTCCACACTGAGTAGTTTACACTCCCACCTACAGTGTGAAGGGTTCCCTTTTCCCCACAGCCTCGTCAGCATTTATTACTGTTTGATTTCTTGGTGATAGACACTTTTTTCTGGAGTAAGATGGCATTTCAGTGTTGTTTTAGTTTGTGTTTCTCTAATGGCCAGCAATGTTGAACATTTTCTTCATGTATGAATTGGCCATTTGTATTTGTTCAGTAGCCCATTTTTTGATTAGGTCTTTTATTTTGGAGGTTATAATTGTGAGTTCTCTATATATTCTAGATATTAACCCTCGGTCTGAGGAGTAGGTGGCAAAGCAGTCTGGCTTTGTCCACACACTCGCTGTTTATTTGCAGCTGGGTACAGGGCAGACCCAGGGTCAGGCCCTTCCTGAGGTTGCATCGCAGTCCGGTCCTTTGCACTGTTTCATTGCGGTCATGCAGCACTGCGTGGTGTCCCAGTGACTGTAAGAGCAATTTCGGATTTGAGAAGTTGTTGACATGTGTTTGTTCAAAGGGAATATTTGTAATTCAAAACGAATTCCTCTGTAACCCAGAGTAATCACAGGGGAAAATTTTACATTGAAAAGACATAGGTAAAAATAAAGAAAACAGGAAATTAGCAAAAATTCCTGAGTTCTGCCCTTAGAAAAGAGAGAAAGGTGCCAGAAACCGGAGAAATCACACACTTCCCTCTCACCACCCCACCGTGGTACCAGTAGAAACTGCTGTCGTGAGCACCAGTGTGGCATGCGCTGGCAGAAGGAGGTCTGAGAGCGGCATGGAGCTTGCTGTCGAGATGTGAATTCCATCCACAGAAGGGACCCGTCTAGTCCGAGTTCTTCATCTCGCACCCAAGATTTGCAGAAGATGCAAATCGCAGGGCAGCCACAGCTGGAGGTGTGGGGCAACCAGAGCCCTGTGACCATCGACACAGGGGTCAGAGTTCTTGGAAAAGGCATTCCAGGAAATGAGCCGGGTGTCTGTCCAGATGCTCGGCAGAAATGTGGTTGGTGTAGTTTTGGTACACGAATATTGGACCTATTCCTGTGAGTGTGTGTAACACACAGAGGTGAGAAAGTAAACATTTTTCTCTATAAACATTTCTGGGAATACATGATCAGCCTGGGCTTCCCTGTGGGTTTTCATTGCCTCTGTTTTAATTTTGCAGTGTGTGGACAATATACGGTGTAATGGCTTAATGACGATTGTCTTTGAAGAGAATTCCAAAGTTACTGTGCCACATATGATAAAGTAAGTACAATAACCCTTTCCCTTCCATTTAACCAGGATCAAATGGGCAGAGATACGAGACCTCGAATTAAATATTGCTTCCGTAGGGCTATGCTCCTTATTGAGAATGTGTCTTGCCTGTCATGTGCTGTCATGTTTTGCCATTATAAATAATACTGCCATCCAAATGGGTTTTCAGGTTCACAGTGTGTTAACGTGTACCCCAGGAAAACTGTTTTCATTTTACTGCCCATGTGTTCACTCTGGGAAGAGTCCCAGCAGGATGTTCAGTTCAGAAGTTTGGAGTGTGAGCCAGATGTGTGCACGGTCAGAGGTGGACGCGGTGTGTGACTTGCGTGACCCGTCCCTGTGGGCAGGAACCTGTCACCTAGGTCTGACAGCAGAGATGTGTAGATGTTGGACATAGAGAGTAGCAGTCAACCAACGTGACTGTGGGACCTTCTGCTCACTGCTGCCTCAGATTTGGCCCGGGGGCACTTGCAGGGCTTGCGTCCTGCTCGGTCTGCATCTTAAGAAAGCGAATCCTGCAACTCCAGGGAGCCACTAGGGTGTGTAGAGTTTAAAAGAAGTTTCATCACCAACTCCCTTTGTCAGTGGGACGCAATGCCCAACACCCACACCTTAGAGGAGAGGTTGATTTTGGCCCCTGATCTTATCCATAGTCAGCTGGCTACAGGGCAGAAGGCATGGCGGAGGGGCCTGGCAGAGCAGAGCTGCTCCCATCCTCGTGGGCAGGAAGCAGAGAGAAGGAAGAGCTGGGAGAAAGAGGCTGTGTAACCTCCCAGGCCACGCCCCCAGTTACCGCCTCCCAGCCCCAGGCCGGCTGTAGCCCTCCGTGATCCACCCACCTTCCATGAACCCTGCCTCTGCATGGGGCTTTGGGGGGACATCCAGGTTTAAACCACAGCGACCACTACAGCTGAAGCTCTCTGCATTAATGCATTTGTCTCTGTATACTATTTTGTTTTTAAATTCAGAAATTGTATGCAAGGGTTCTGAAGTGGACCTAATTGTTTCTTACTTTCATTTTCTTGGTTATTTGCAGTCTCAATTTTAAGAGTAAAGTGTATTTTTGAAAGCAATTTTGTTAGATCTTTTAAAACAGAAGCTATTTGAAACTAAGAGTGTATTTGCCTTTTACGTCTTCTTACGTGGGTATTTTGAGGTCGGAACTGTTTGTGCTGAGAAATAAGAAGCATGAACCTGGAAGAAGGGGGACTTCCTCTTCTGGGAGGTGGACACTGCAGGGAGCTTGATCCCGTGCTGCTGGTGGCTGCTGATGAACCCCTCCGATGAAGGCACGGACACCACATTGGCTGCCATAATTGTGTGGAAAATGTGATGTATAGGGAGAATGATAGTATTTTAAACTTAGTCAAATTGTAGAATACTTCAGGAAGGACCGTTTTTAAACTCTAGGGCAAAGATTCCTTTTGCCTTCAGTTGTCTAGCTTTCTAATTTGGTGTCTTTAAGAGAAGGAGTAAAGATTTATGAGGCCAAGATTAAGAACACGTATGGACTGTTACGTCAGCAGGTCCAAATTATGACGGAATTTCTGAGTTCACATCATTGGGTTGGAATTATTTTGCTATTTCTTGCTGTACGAGTCTTCTTTTAATCCTTCTCAGAATGATAATTTGTGAGTTTAGCCAGGTATGAAGTCCACCTGCCTTCAAATGAGAATGTGTGAGGCAGACTTGTGGTCAGGTTTATTCACCCACTCGGCACACATTTGCCAACTTTAAAAATTAACCCAGTACTGAAGAGCACGACGTGTGCCTTGGGCTGTGAGGATTTCCTGTCTAGGCCATGCGTCCACCCCACACTGTGCGCTTACCCCTTTGACTTCCAGCCTCCTCCAGCCTGGCTGCTGCTTATCCCTGCATCTCTTGTCTCCCTGGCTACCGGCCATGGGGAAAAAAGGAAACCAACATTTTTCAGAGTTGCATGAAAAAATCATCCTGCCGTAACCATCCCTGTCTTGTTGCTGACGTGTGTGGACTGGAGCCTGCCCTTCCTCTTGGAACTTTCCAGATATAACAGATGATCTGGTTTGATCTCTCATGATTGCTTCTTGTGTGTTTGTCAGAAAGGAGTAGCTATTATCACAGAAGGCTTAACTAACACATCTCGTCTTTCTTGAGAGTCCCTTAGGAAATAAAGTAAGATCCTGCTCAGCATAATAAGAGAACATTAAGTAATTTCATAATATTTAATTTCTTTTCTCAAAATGAAAATGTAATCATAACTTTGAAGGACAGTGATGTAATCAGTTTAACTTAATTTCATGCTGGCTGCAACATATTTTCTTTCTCCTTATGCTTAGAATAAACTAATTATACTGTATTTAAAAGATGCAGAGCTCAAAACTAGGATTAGAATGTGCAATCATGATGCTTGTCTGGTGACAATGTCCTTTACACAGTATCTGAGATCAGCCTTTCTTTTCAAAATATCTGACCTCACCTTTCTTAGAAAATAGAGATTTTGGGTGAAAAACAATAGAAAAAAGGTATTATTCATTCAGCCATATTTGGGATACATTGATGGGTTCCTCAAAGTTGCTCAGGCCTTTTGACAAATGGAAGAATTGAGAACCAGAAAAATAAAATTAGCGGAGGCTCACACGGTGCAGAGAAGAAAGCCACACCGTTTGCAACCCTCCCACAACACACACCTGTGTTTTCGAGATCAGTAGTGTGAAGTCAGGCGGCCCCCTGGCGGTCCCTTAAGATGCCCTCTGGGGGCTTTGGGAGCAGAGGTCCTCAGCCCCCACGGGCACCGTTGGAGCTGGGAAGTTTCCAAGGGCAAAGGAGTCAGCTCTCAATTCTGGTCCAGGGGAAAGGAAATAAATATATAATTGCCAGCCCCTGGCAGGGCTGAAGGGCTCTCAGGAGTACTCGAGGAAGGCCCAGTTCATTCTCTGTGCCCCGCGGCATCTCTCTGGGGACTGTGGTGAGATCCAGGCCGAGGGCAGGGACACGGGATCTCGGAGGGACGCCAAGGCTGCCGGGTCCTGGTGGCCACCAGGGAGCGGCTGCTGGACCCGGCCACGGGCAGGCATGGGGACAGCTCATCGGCTGCTGCTTTTTAAAATGAAAACATTTTCAGTGCTGCCGGCTATTGAAAACCTAGTGCAGACATGACACATCCAACTTACTTTAGGGATGAATGCACACTCAGGGAATGTCAGCTCAGCAATAAGCCCGGAAGAATGGGATCCAGAAATTGGGAAATCTGACTCAAGACATTAGGAAGGGTCGAGAAAGTGAACTGCAGCAAAGTGTGGGAAGGAAATCACTGAGATAGGATCAAATGTGAAGGAGCTAAAAGAAAACCGGTAGAACTGCTACATCAAAGGGCCAATTCTGAAGCCATTATACATTAATAGATAAGCTCTATTACTATGCGGCAGTGATGTTTGTGTCTTTGCTCCACAGTGTGGGGCAGGTGTCACCACTACTTTTTAAGCACACTTCTGATGTTCTGCTTTCAGACCCTAGGAAATGCTTTTCCCGCGGTCTAGTGGTGCACACCTGTAATCTCAGCACTCAGGAGGCTGAGGCAGGAGGATTGCAGTGAGTTCCAGGCCAACCTGGGCTACATAGTGAGATCCTGTCTCAAAACAAGACAACAGCAACAAAAAATAAAAAGAAATGCTTTTCCCTTCAGAAAGAGGGGATTTGATTTCATGCTCTTAGTAAAAGGTAACTGAACTGAAGGGGAGGGACCCGCTCCGTGAAATGAGCCCCTACCGCAGATCCCGGCTTCCTGACCCACCATCGCCGTGCTGTCCCCAAACCCACCGTGTGTCCGTCAGGCAGCCGTGCGCGCCTCCCGCTCCTGGCGGGGTCCCGGGCGGGCTGTGGCTGACACCCGCTCCCGCAGGTCCGACGCCCGGCTGCACAGGGACGCGGCCGACATCTGCTTCAGCAAGACCCTCAACTCCTGCAAGGTGCCGCAGATCCGCTGCGCCAGCGTGGAGCGCCTGCTGGAGCGGCTCAGCGACCTGCGCTTCCTGAGCATCGACTTCCTCAACACCTTCCTGCACACCTACCGCATCTTCACCTCGGGGGCGGTGGTGCTGGCCACGCTGGCCGACGTCTACCGGCGCCCCTTCACCGCCATCCCGGTCAGGTCAGGGCCCACAGCCGCTCAGCTGCGGCCGCCTGGCGCCCGGGGGGG